AGCTTTAAATCTTTGAACTTTCTCATTGCTGTCATCAGCTGTCAATCAAAACAAAGATGGTGGGCGGGCTCTTTGAGGTGTGCTCCTTTCCTGTAGTCCTGATGTGTTGACTTTGTGGAGCTGCAGTAATAATAATAATAATAATAATAATAATAATAATACCTTGAACTTTATTGATTAAACTCTTGTGTTAACAGCAGACGTGTCTGTTTTCTTCACTCGCAGCAGTATAAGTTCATTCACTTTACACAGAGACAAATTCACTTCCAGCCTCTGCATAAATACACCGTCGTGACATTTTATGTTGAACCTCAGATTTGAACATTTTTCAGGCTGAAATGAAGTTCATTTTAAAGTAATTATTTTGAAATCTCTCAGTTCATTCATATTTTAAATAAATAAATGAAGCCACTGTGAAGGTGGTGTAGTTTAAAATGTATTTACTTGATTGTTTTGGCTCATTTTTGGCTGTTTTGGAGCTGGAGCACAGTCATCTGCTGTCTCTGAGCCATATCACTTGATTTTATTTTCACTTTGAGAAATTAGGTTGAGGGAATTGTTTTCTGGATAACATATATATATACATATATACATATACATACAGTATATACACATATATACATACATACACATACATATCCATATATGTATGTGTATATGTATATATGTATATATACATATATACATACATATATACATATATATGTATATATGTGTATATGTACATCTTTATATGTATATATATACACATATACATATATAAATATATATATATATATAAATATACATATATATGTGTATATGTACATCTTTATATGTATATATATACACATATACATATATAAATATATATATATATATAAATATACATATATATGTGTATATGTACATCTTTATATGTATATATATACACATATACATATATAAATATACATATATACATATATAAATATACATATATATGTGTATATGTACATCTTTATATGTATATATATACACATATACATATATAAATATACATATATATGTGTATATGTACATCTTTATATGTATATATATACACATATACATATATAAATATACATATATATGTGTATATGTACATCTTTATATGTATATATATACACATATACATATATAAATATATATATATATATAAATATACATATATACATATATATGTACATATGTGTATATGTACATCTTTATATGTATATATATACACATATACATATATAAATATACATATATACATATACATACAGTATATACACATATATACATACATACATACATATATACAGTATATATGTATATATACATACACATACATATATATATATATACATATATATATACATACAGTTAATATGGATGACGTTTTGAAGACTGGTTTTGAAGAGCAGCAGTTGAACTTACTGGTTCTCAGGGCGGACGGTGTGACCTCGATCTCACTGGCAGCCTGGTACGGCTGAAAGGCCGAGGCCGTGCTGCCGGCGCTGAGATCGGCGCCAAAGAGGTCCGGACTCTGGGTACCCGTGGAGCTGGCACTGGTTCCGTCACCGCCGTGATGAGGCTCCTGTTCATCATACAGCGCTATCAGCTGAAGAAGAAGAAAAACAAAAATGAAACCAAACCAAACCAGAACGGAGGCGACAGTTCTCTAACCAGGTCACCCAGACCAGACCAGACCTGACCTGACCTGACCTGACCTGACCAGACCTGACCTGACCTGACCTGACCAGACCAGACCAGACCTGACCTGACCTGACCTGACCAGACCAGACCAGACCAGACCAGACCAGACCAGACCAGACCTGACCACCTTGGTTCAGGGCCGTCCTTCCTCTGGTCCCTGAACCTCAGCTGTTCCACTTTGTGTTAAAAAAAAAGAAAAAGAAAAGAAAAGAAAAAAAAAGAAACTACGGGTCTGTGTTTTATTTATAAAAGTAGATTTGATGCAATAAAAGCCTCAGAAATTAGCACAGGAGGTGTGTGTGTGTGTGTGTGTGTGTAATGACAGTAATACATCACTGACTATCACTGCTAATCAGGCTCTAAGTCTATATTTAGACGTTTAGCTTCAATTACTGTGTTTTTTGCAGAGAACTAATCAACACTTGGTTCCTGTAAAAATGCCAGTACCGTGTGTGTGTGTGTGTGTGTGTGTGTGTGTCCTCACGTGTTATAATGAAGTAGGACAAATCAGCTGGGGTGTGTGTGTGAGAGAGAGAGAGAGAAAGAGAGAGAGAGAGAGAGAGAGAGAACTTGAGGAAGATCGACTTCTTGACATTCGTACCATGTGTCCAAACCTGTGGCTGTGGACTGTAATGCATGGACACGTGGAGCTGAGGGTGAGGAGAGGGTGAGGAGAGGGTGAGGAGAGGGTGAGGAGAGGGTGAGGGTCTTAGGCCTGGATGGATTAAAGCAGTGGTTCCTAATTATTTTACGTCAAAAATATCAAGGAAATTCGTCTGAACGGTCGATCACAGACGGAGGAGCAGGGGGGGAGGAGGGGGAGGAGGGGGAAGAAACTGCAAATTTTAAATTTTTGAAAACCTAAACTTTTGAACAATCAAACCCCGCAGCTGTGGAGGGAGTTTAAAGAGAACGTAGCAGGCACCGAGCCGTGGAACTCATTTCAACTCATCATCTCCATCAGACACTCTACAGCCACAGCACACAGGGACTGGTGAGTTCCTGGTACTTTCTGTGAAGGTTTAGTCTCTGGAAGACGTCTGCAGGTCTGAACAAAAGAAAAGAAGGAGAGGAAGAAGGGGCTGAGCTTCTGTGGGTGATTAATCATGTCTGAGAGAGAGAGAGAGTTTTAAGACCGGAGCAGAAGTCTGCATAATTTCACTGGTCCAATTACTGCCACCAGAAGAGAAGGAAGAGTTTGGACAGAACGAGAGCGGGGGGGGGGGGGGGGGTGGAGGGGGTGGAGTAAGACGAGCAGGAGAGAGGAGACGCAAATGAGGCCGTGTGACAAAACGGTTTGTCAGACAGGAGGGAAGACGCCAGAAGACCGGAGTTTCTGGGTTGAACCCTGGAAAAAGAAATGAGTGCAGTGACGTCTGTGATCCACACGGCGGCTCAGACACTGCTGTGATACAGGCATTGGTACCGATGCTGCTGGAACTAAATGTCACTGTTGAAGAGTTCGGTACTAAACGCTGTGGTTTGTCCATCCTGACTCCAGACTGTGTGTGTGTCTAATAGTGATTTTTTATTTTATTATTATTTATTTCAACAAAGTCACGGGTCTGATTTTATTTTTTATTCACTTCAACTCCTTCAGTTTAAGGATGAGAAGCAAAAGAGAAAAAAACAAGAGAGACGTGTCAGAGCCTGTGGTCCAACCTGAGGCTCCAGCTCACTGGAGCTTCACATTCACCTTCCCTCACTCTGTGTGTGTGTGTGTGTGTGCTGCCTCCACTCCTGCTCTGGCAGAGATTGCAGAGGTTATTTTGTACAAAAAAAAGAACCATCTCCAGTCCTGCTGCTGCCATCGACCAAATCATCCCAGCAGCAAAATCTCATTTACCCCAGACCCCGGGGGAGACTGTGGTCGTTCCTGCTGCTAACTCTGTACTGCAGAGGTCTGCAGTGATGCTGCTGCTGCTGCTGCTGCCGCCGCTGGTCCCGCTTACAGCACAGAACCTTCTCTTATTTAAACCAACAGCTGGATGGAAATACAGTAGGTACAACTGAATATTTTTATTCTTGTCAGGACTCCTGTCTTAACCTGTATTTTAGACACACAGACAGTTAAAGGAAACAGTCACACCACCACACTACATCCTGTTTATTGACCATTACTTCCTGTCTCCTTCTCCGCCACTCAGTGCTGTGGGAATTCAAATTCCTAAGTTTATGATAAGAACAACAGGACACGTTAGAAGAACCTGAGCAACAACCAAAGTCCATGGAGAAAATCAGAGATTTTAGTTCAGACCAAAGTCCATGGAGAAAATCAGAGACTTTAGTTCAGACCAAAGTCCATGGAGAAAATCAGAGATTTTAGTTCAGACCAAAGTCCATGGAGAAAATCAGAGATTTTAGTTCAGACCAAAGTCCATGGAGAAAATCAGAGATTTTAGTTCAGACCAAAGTCCATGGAGAAAATCAGAGATTTTAGTTCAGACCAAAGTCCATGGAGAAAATCAGAGATTTTAGTTCAGACCAAAGTCCATGGAGAAAATCAGAGATTTTAGTTCAGACCAAAGTCCATGGAGAAAATCAGAGATTTTAGTTCAGACCAAAGTCCATGGAGAAAATCAGAGATTTTAGTTCAGACCAAAGTCCATGGAGAAAATCAGAGATTTTAGTTCAGACCAAAGTCCATGGAGAAAATCAGAGATTTTGTGACAGAGACACAGCAGTTGCTGATGAGTTACTGCCTACATTATAAAGACCACATGTAGTATTAAGTGACTAATGTCCTGTATTTTTGGCCAGTAGGTGGTGTGATGAATATTTTCAAGTGCATTGTGGTTAAATGATTTCAAAAATATAAAGAAAACAGAAGCCTCGGAGTCACAGTTGAAATCATCTGCAGCTGTTTAGTTCACATCGTCTTCCAGTGACGTCATAGAAACCAGAGCAGGGTCCACGTGACACACCTTCAATCATCTTTAACACCTGGATCCATCAATATCCAGAAACCTGTGAGAACGGGATCAACATCTTGTTGTTTCTCTGCCAGATCCAAGTCTCAGAACACTGAGAGGAGAACCGTGTTAACGGCTCTAAGACGAGCAGCCTACTGCAGTCAGACCAAACCTAGGGCCACACTGACCCCTGCTGGTCAAAGAGAGTATTAAAGTATTTAAAATCCGGTGAAATAAATGGGACCTCATTTAAAATAAGTAGCTCGTTAGTATTAATAGTTTAATAGAGAAGTCAATAATATGAAGCACTGAGTTAATGAGGCAGCTTTAAAATTTAACTTCTATATTACTGATGTAATAAAGACTGGACCTCTATAGACTGGGCCTCTATAGACTGGACCTCCAAAGACTGGACCTCTATAGACTGGAACTCCAAAGACTGGACCTCTATAGACTGGACCTCTATAAACTGGACCTCTAAAGACTTGACTCCAAAGACTGGACCTCTATAGACTGGACCTCTATAGACTTGACCTCTATAGACTGGTCCTCCAAAGACTGGACCTCTATAGACTGGACCTCTAAAGACTGGACCTCTATAGACTGGACCTCCATAGACTGGACCTCCAAAGACTGGACCTCCAAAGTGTGGACCTCTATAGGCTGGACCTCCATAGACTGGACCTCCAAAGACTGGACCTCTAAAAACTGGACCTCTATAGACTGGACCTCCATAGACTGGACCTCCAAAGACTGGTGTGTTTCATGGTCAACATGTTTAGTGCAGGGAGAAGGTGAGGTTTGTCAGCCATGACCAACACACACAGACCACGTCCTGGAGCAGACTGTTCCTGTGGACCACAGCTGTGTCCGTCTGAGTCACTGTGGTGAGAAACCACCGTGTGGCTGCATGTGGACGTTACATCAGACGGTTTGTTTAAAACACAGCCCTGTAGCAAAGGAAGCAATGTTGGTTATAAAAAAAACCCCCAAAAAAACAGTTTAAAGTTCAATGTGACGAATCTGAATTAACATTGACCTAAAATGCATGAAAACGGCTTCAGTTCAGCTAAATATTTCTCAAAATATTATGGGAAAACTCCAATTACAACATGGTTTGCCAAGATAATAAAAGAGAATTTGGCCAAACATGTAGAATAAGGCTATAATTATAAAGAACGAATCACAGGTTTATCTTAAAATGATGCAAGACGCTAACGGAAACCGGCTAAAGGTTTTTTAGACCATTTACACGGGTCTAAATGGTTTGGTGCAGTGCTCCAATCCTACCACAGGAGGGCACTAAAGCCCTTCAAGTAAGTTTCACAAGCGCCGTGTCTACAGCTCTTTCCACTGAGAGATTTACAGAAGAAAGTCAAAAGCTAAAACATTTTCCGGCCTCCAAACCTGAAACGCTGATCCATTACTGACTAGACGCTGGAAAAACATAAACAAAAACTAAAAAAACTGACCGCAGAAAGACACGAGAAACTACGGAGCAGAAGCAGAGAACCAACGGAGGGACGAATGATTTAGTAGCAGTGACGTCGTTACACCGCTGGATCTTTTTATTACCGTTCTAGCCATCTCCAGAATGTTTACGTGTTCCCCAGTCACATTCTTGCAAATTCTAGCAAGTCCTCGCTGCTTCGGCTATATTTCTGTTTCTCAATTTTGCTATTGTTTCCCCCGATGTTGCTACATTGCTGGATGAACTTTAAGCTACCTAAAACATTTGGTGGCTAACTGACTTGTGGATTTCTGAGTTGTGGAATTTATAATCATTGTCTTTTCTCTACTCTTTAGCTCAACTGTCTACCTCCTTTGGCTAACTCAAACTGTTGTGTTTGAAAACATTTGCTACATTTTGTTGCCTTTTGTACTAACTGTACGTACACTACATATGTTTAGCTTACCTTATGAACCACCTTCTGCTAACGTTTGCCATGCGTATGACATGGCTTCCTTATATTAGCGGTGTTTTTGATGAAGGTGATATCACTAATAACAAAACTTTGTTTCCTACTTTATTACCGGTGATATCACTAATAACAACAAAACTTTGTTTCCTACTTTATTACCTAATATTTTGGCTAAGTTTATACTAGCTGAATTAAATAAACTTTGCTAAATGTAACAAACCAACATATTTGGCGAAGTGAAGCTACTTTGCTAACTTCTGTTTATATAAACAACAATCCCAACAGGCTGTTTTGCTGGATGTTTGAGACATGATTGTCTAACGTTAGCAGCTTTTCTGCCGTCGTTAGCTCTCTATGCTATCGACTTCCTTTGAACGTTTGTCTTTAATACGACCGGGCTGTGTTTGAGGACAAGAAGAAGAAAATATTACTTTCTGTCTCAATTTGATTTTAACGGATGTTGGTACCACATGTGAACCACAGTCATGGATTCTTTCCTGAACGTTAGTGATGACCTCATTATTTCCTGAATATTCCTCTTCCTCCTCCCCCTCTCGTCTTCCCCTGCCTCGGCCTCTTAATGAGAACAAGATGAGGGGGGTGACACTGGAGTGGCCGACGGGGCAGGAAGTTGGAATGACAGATAATGACACGCAGAGGTCTGTGTTCTCTGGTCTTAAGACCAGGCAGAGTCGGTGCGGTCGGTCCAGGACTCTGGTCAATGGCGTCTCATCGCCTCTCTGTCCAAAACGTGGTTTCTAAGAATGTTTCTTTTTCTAAACGAGCCTCGCTAAATGTCTTTTGCTAATTGTTTATGAGTTTGTTTTCATTTGACATTCAATCCTCAAACACAAGCTGTGAAATATTAGGGGGAAACTTTTTCGGCCTGTGGTTCTCCAAGCCTTTTACACTACGTACCAGCTCTGAAAATATCCGTCTGTCCCAGTTCCAGCAGTTTGATCGACAGTAAATCCAACAACAACTACACTGTTCACCTGAGACCAGTACATGTGTTCTAGTCTGATAATAGTAGGACTGTGTGTTGGCAACAATCTGCTGATACGATACGTATCATGAAACAATGTATTGTGATATACTGCGATACTATAGGCATGGCGATATATATTGAGTTTTTTTTTAAAACAATTCAATTGTAAAACATAAAAAAAACGTGCTGTAGAATATGGATACGTCATGAATGTGAAACTAAATATGACCATATATGGGCGTATTGATATTTTCATACACCCCATAATAATAAGATTAGACCATTAATCAGAAAGAGACACATCGTGTAATGAAGTTGGACCCCTGCTGGCAGAATGGCAGAACTTGTTATCTCCCAACACTGTTTGTCCCACAGCATTTAAAAAGGTGGATTGTCCCTTGGACCATATGTTGAGAACCCCTGTGATTTTCCAAAGTTGAGACACTTTCAGGGAGGGAGGCAGGGGAGGGAGAGAGAGAGAGAGAGAGAGAGAGAGAGAGAGGGGCAGGGTAAAAATATCTCATGTGCTAATGCATGATCTACAAAGATGCTAATCCCGCTATATTTAGCAGGATGTGGACGGAACGCTCAGATCTGACCTTCGCTCTTTATTTACTACGACAGTAAAAAAAAAAAAAAAAAAACTAGCTGACATTCTTCACATGCCTCCAACAGCTCTGCACCAACATTAGTTCAGTGCTAACCCGCAGTACTGCCACTTATCCAGCAGCAGTAAAGGGAACTTTCAACTGTGAGGCTAAAAGTGGAGGCACAGGAAATAACCAGGAACCAAAGACAGAGCAGTGAGACCTGGAGAACATCGACGTCTAAACAAACTCAAGAGTCACAGGGAAGCTGAGGTGACCGGCAAATCTGATTGGCCGTTGGCGCCACATGGAGCGCTGCGTGGTACCTTGGTGTAGTGGTTAGCATGCCTGCCTTGTAAGCAGAGAGCCCAGGATTTGAGTCTGAACATCAGTTCCTAACTCTGGAACAGAGGGATCTACATTTGGAATCACTAGAGAAGAAAGAAAAGAACAAGAACATGAACCAACACCAGGAATATTGGAGAAAATCAAGAACCGATCAATGACAGAGGAGATTGATCTGGGATCAGGAGATGGAGATACTGCAATATTTTCAGGCGGTGGATGGAGGCCACAGACCGGACTCTGAGTGACAGTGACAGTCAGGACCCCTGCTGGCCGAGGGCACACATGTCAGTGAACACAGCTGTGCGACACACCCTGAAACACACACACATACTGGAGTGTGTTGTCTGAGTCCAGGTGGCATCACTCAGGGCTGTGACATCACGCTGTGAGCATGTGCAGAAGAGGAGTGTGTGTGTGTGTGTGTAAAGGGAGATAGAGGAGGGGGTCTAAGAAGAAATGAAATATTCTTATTGTCTAAGGAGTCCAGTCCCAGAACCTGACGGAGCAGGAAGTCCGTGTCAAACAAGTCACTCTTCGTTTTACCAACGACCCTGACCTTTGGTCTCTCTCTCTCTCTCTCTCTCTCTCTGACATCAAAGACCCTAAGGTCCAGGGTTGGTCTGAGTTCAAGCTGCAGCTACAGCGCCTCCTGTCGGTGGCCTAAACTGAGTCTTGGATGTGATTGGACGGTGCACCTGCAGCAGCACAGCATCACTCACCCTGTCTTTGTCGTCGGCCACATCACACAGCACGTCATCCAGGTCCAAGATCCCTCCGTCACTGTGCTCCAACCGGTGAACCTGCAGCCAGTAGGTGGAGTCCTAGAGCATAGAAAAAAAATCATTTTAGTCATTCATTCCCAAGCATCAACACGGGGTCAGGGATTTTTTCCTTTGTCATTTTTTTTATATGCGTTCCTTTGATAAATTCAGATCCAATGAATAATAAAAAAAACCACCACTTTATGCAGATGATACTGGAAAAAAAATACTGGAGAAATGTCTTTGTGTGCAGTCAGAAAAAAACAAAGAGGAATCCAAAAAGTAAGCCATCATTTATTTATAGTTTTCTGTTGTTTTTTTTGTGATGATACAGTAAATGTTTAAAATCTCTACACTCAGTACGGAAAAGGTCTCTGTCCAATGTCCTCACATCGGACAGCCAATCAGATCAGGACATTCTTCAGACCAAATCTTCACCAACAGTAAATAAACCCAGTAGGTGGCAGTACTGCGTTAATCAGGGCTGATAGCAGAGTTAGCTTAGCATTGACTTGGTGAAGTGTGACTGCAATAATAACACATTATTTATATATTATTTGGTCATTTATTGTGAGGGGGGGCGGTTCATATGGGGGGGGTGCAGCCGCACATTAAATGTTGTTTTTATTTATTTTTTCCGAGTGGTGAAAATTAGTTGAAACTTCAGGGTTTCTACAAGACCCGATCAAAGGATTAAAGGTTTCTGATCTGATCAAAGCCTTCAAAGACTAACAGCGTTGGTACATCAGTGCATGGATTCCCAACACACACAACTGGACACGTGTGCAGACGTAGAGGAGGCTGGTGGCAGCTGTTTCAGAGATTTCTGCAGACCATCGGACGCTCGACACCAGAGATGTTCCAGGGCGACATTAACATCGACTTCAAGTCCTACGGCGGCGGCGGCGACGACGACGACGTCTACTGGAGAGATGACGAAAGTGAAGAAAGCCGCAGAGAACCGAGTTACCAAGATGTGGTTAAACTGTTTGACAACCTCAGGCACTTTGATCACATTTACGCCAACAACGCCATCATCGACGCGCAGGTAGGTGGAGTCGTTTGTGCCTACGACTCCATGAACGACGAGTGACGCCTTAAATGTGTTTGACTTCATTTCCAACAGTTCATGGTTGAGTCCTGGCGAAGAAGCAACTTCGAGGGGGAGTCTTCAGAGATGGATTCGGAGGTGGAATCCGAGGTACGAGACCTCACGGACGTCCGCGACGGAACCCCACATCTGCTGTCGGAGTTGTCTGCATCGACACCGGGGGCAGCACAGAGTGAACCAGCGCCGAGAGTCCAACTGGTCGAGGAGACGTCCCCCACAGAGTCACGCGGTTCCCGGTCGACCTATGACTTGGACGATTCGCCGTCCTTCCATGAATACGAGTGTGACGACACGGAGGCCCCTGACGACAATCACACCAACTCAGATGACAACGGTTATTACTGCAACTCTGACTTTACGTCATCCTCCAACTCAGGGGGCTCAACGTCTTCTAACTCTGGGGGCTGCACGTCTCCCTTGAACTCAGACTCAGAACGAGACTCTTCTCAGGGGGAAGAACGCGGTCCTCCAACTCAGAGGGCGCCGTGTTTTCCTTTGGCTCCAACGTCACGTCGCCTTCCTCCACCTTCAAGGTCACGTCTTCCTCTGTCGCCAAGGTCACGCCGTCTTCCTGCGGTGCAGAGGGAACACCTCTCTCCACCTTGGAGGGCACGTCGTAGTTCTCTAGCTCGGAGAGTGCTAGGTTTTTCTCCGACTCAGAGGCGACAACGACGTTTTTGAAGTCAACGGGTGTCAAACCTGGGTCGAGGACTGTAGGTGGCACGTCTTTGTCCAACATCCTCCTGATGGAGAATGATGGCAGTTTTAAAGATTAACACTGTGGAATAAAGAGATCTGTGAGTCCGACCCCAACTACATCAAATATGTGTCCCCCCCCCCCCCCCCCCCCCCCCCCCCCCCACACAAACAAAAATCAACCACTTTCTGCACCCCCTCCACCTCCACCTCCACCTCCTGGGAATCGCTCCTCGACCCTGGGGGGGGGGGAGTTCAAATTTAAAACTGTGTTTTATGTTTTGGCTCCTTAAGTTTGCTTGAATTTGAGAGCAGGAACAGCGCCTCCTACAGTGCAGAGTGGAGTAGAATTGAACAGTTATCTTAGCTCTGTGGTGAACATCACCACATCGATCTAAAGACAACACCTGGGACCTGCACTCCCAGTCCAGAAGGGGGAGGTAGTGAGGAAACAAAGAAGGCTTTGACCTTCATATAAAGACACCAGTGAGTCTGGAGGAGGAGGAGGAGGAGGAGGAAGAACACAGTTACAGTTCTTTCTGTGTGTGTGTGGAAAACTGGTGTTTTTTTACTTGTTTTTTTACTTGATTTCATAAGAAGTCCAAAATGACTCTGTGTGTGTGGAAAACTGGTGTTTTTATACTTGATTTCATAAGAAGTCCAAAATGTTCACCCTCTGGTCCACGGGCCAGGGGTTAGCATCACCATACATCTTGTGTTTATGGCAGCGGGAGATTTTTGTCTCATTTCTAGGTTCAACTAGCAGCTAACTTTAGCCTCGCGGCTCACTGTACGGAGGATTTCCAAACACAGGTGGCGCCGTCGTACGTCAGCCTGGACTGGAATGCCCGACATTCCTGCCTGAGTCGGTGCCAAGTGGAAGCCCAGGGTCTGGAGCGGAGCCAGACTTTGGTTTAGTCTGAGCAGAATCAACCAGTGTCTGGACCTGCTGCAGTGTGTGTGTGTGTGAGTGTGTGTGTGTGTGTGTGTGTGTGTGTGTGCAGGTGAACGGAGTCAAGGGCTGAGCTAAAAATACTGTCGGTATTTCTGTTCTGGATGAAGTCTGTCATCAGTAAAACTAAAACTGGAATACTTTATGGACTCTGTGGCATTTGCTGCTAAAGGTTAGCCACAAACTACGTTAGCAATTTAGACATTTAGCCAAAATGAATGGTACAATAATGACGTCTCAAATTTGAGTTCACTGAAAGATCAGAACAAAGTCAATTTCAATTCAAAACAACGTTAACAGGAAGTAAACACGACCCCCAGGTTGGACCACCATCGTCACTTTGCGAGGACACGGGGATCAAAGCCAAATGTGAGCAGCAGTGAGGACGGGACTGTGGACATTTGATCTACCGCCGCCGCCGCCGCCGTCATCCACCACTGACCTCCTGCAGCTGCAGCCGCTGACAGTGACACCAGGAGAGTCCGGTGACACCAACAGGACACGTTTGGTATCAGCTCCGCATTCCCAATAATCATCGTCCTGTCATCCGACCGTGAACTGTCCCACTGATCCGTCCTCTCCTGATCCCGTCTCAACCTCCTCCAATATTCCTGGTGTCGGTTCGTTTTCTTTTTTCTTTTCTTTTTAGTGAATGACGTGAACTCTCCACCAGGTTTGTTGATCAAAGGAAGAGCTGTGACCTCAGGGGGATCGGTTCTGGTCCAGTACCGATCCAGTCGGCTGATGGTCGGACTAGTTCAAAGGTAACCTAGAAACGAGCTAGTACGCTACGGGTTAGCCTCTTAGCATGAGCAGTGAAAAGGCTAACAGTTAGCTGAACAGTCAACAACAAAGGTAACGAAGTTAAAAGTGGATTAAAGGTGTGTGTGTGTGTGTGTGTGTGTGTGTGTGTCCAGTCCATTAGTACCACAACAGAACAGTACCTTCTGAGTTCTTCTCAGAGCCTCACAGTGTTTCCACATGTCCACACCTTCACACCGACCCTCCTCCTCCTCCGCAGTGAAAATGACTCCAGTGTGTGTGTGTGTGTACAGGTATGTGACACACACACACACACACACACACACACACACGCCCGTGCTGTAACACAATGAGCTGCTCTCTTCTCTGCTGGTTTCAGGTTCCCACGGTGACACCGTTCACAGATACTCAACATGAGGAACCGCCTGGTCAGACAGTGAATGCATCACTGACCCACAATGCATCACTTGTTTGTACCAGTTTTATGGGAATAAATGTCAGCATTTTTTCACTGACTTGGTTTTTTTTTTTTTTTTTTTACATTCTAACCTCTGACCTCTGATGACCAGTCCTTTTATGGACCTGGTCTCTGGACCCCCCCCCCCTCCACAGGCCACGCCCCCACAGGCCACGCCCCCTCCTAGTCCCTGCCAACCTGGCCTTAAACCTGGATGTGGTTTTCCGCAGGGACGTAAACAAAGACCATCGCCACGGAGACCAGCTGACATCACCGCAGCCTCGGCCAATCACAGGTGAGTGACAGGAACCAGGGTTCGTCTGCTGACACAGCAGACTGGACCCCAACACCAACACCAACACCAACCCACACACCAACACAAACGGAGCTGGAGTTGAGCTGCTGACCTGCTGCAGCAGAGAGAGACACAGAGACACCGCGCTGCCGGTCCACGTGTCGTCACCAGCTCAGTTTCCTCGCCCACCATCATTATCATCATCATCATCATCATCATCATCATCATCATCATCATCAGAAATCAGCTGTGAGGTCTAGCGCCATCTGCAGGACAGTGTGATGTCAGACCACAGGATTTGGAACTGATGACGGACGACGCCACAACACTGGGGCAGAGGATTATTCTGCAAAACATGAACTCTGGTGTGTGTGTGTGTGTGTGTGTGTGTCTTGCAGGGTCATGTGACCCCAACAGTCAGTGCTGAATCAGATCAGAGGAAAAAAGGCAGAAATCAGAGGAGTTCTTCAAAGATCAGAGGTCCATCACTGAGCATGAGGGGGGGGCAGGGGGGAGGGGGGGGTCTCACCCAAACAACTAACCCTGACTGGAGGATCAGGTCTGGAGGATCAGGTCTGGAGGATCAGGTCTGGAGGATCAGGTCTGGTCAGTCAGGATGTGGTTTTTCCTGCTCAGCTCAGACCTGGGAGCTGCTCCAGTTTCACTGCAGGAATGTTGTCAGGCAGCAGGGCTACGGTACCAGCGGGTCTGGGTCTGGGTCTGGGTCTGAGTCTGAGTCTGGGTCTGGGTCTGAGTCTGGGTCTGGGTCTGAGTCTGGGTCTGGGTCTGAGTCTGGGTCTGAGTCTGGGTCTGGGTCTGGGTCTGGGTCTGGGTCTGGGTCTGAGTCTGGGTCTGGGTCTGAGTCTGAGTCTGGGTCTGGGTCTGAGTCTGGGTCTGGGTCTGAGTCTGGGTCTGGGTCTGAGTCCCGGACTTCTCATTCATCTGAGACACAAACACATCTTCACCTAAAAGACGGACAGACGGACGGACATGAGTCAGTCCGTCCGTCGGTGTGAACACGTCCGACGAGTGCAGACCAGTCGGTGTGAGAATCACCCAGGAGAGAGGAGAGCTGAGGAGGAACCACACTCTCATCCTTTCATCCTGTCTCCGTTCTTCTTTTTTTATGCTTTCCATCGAGCAGCAGAGGAAATGATGTCATCTGTAATCTGACGTAATCTGACGTAATCTGACGTAATCTGACGTAATCTGACGACGAAGAATATTTATGTAGATGTTGCTTTATCTTTACCTCTAATTTATATTTCTAGTTCTAATGTGAAGCAGACGTTCAGTCTGTGGTCCAGTCTGTGGTCCAGTCTTGGTTTCTGTCTGTGGCCCAGTCTCTGTTTCAGTCTTAGGTCCAGTCTGTGGCCCAGTCTGTGGCCCAGTCTCTGGTCCAGTCTCTGGTCCAGTCTGTGGTCCAGTCTCTGGTCCAGTCTCTGGTCCAGTCTGTGGTCTAGTCTCTGTTTCTGGCCCAGTCTCTGGTCCAGTCTGTGGCCCAATCTGTGGCCCAGTCTGTGGTCTATATTTAGCCGAGGACTGAACCTCATCAGCCTGAGGAGTGAATTAAATTTTGAGTGAAGTTATTAATAATCTCCACTCATCAATAATTTGGGTTTTTCCTATTGGAGCCTCTTCATTTCCATCAGCCAATCCTGGAGCTCAGCACCCGTGACATCAGAACGGTTACCGACTGACTTCTGTATTTCTACGCAGGTCTTTCAGTGCTGGAACCATTTTCGGTGTGACATCATACGTCCGGGGTCATATGAGCTCAAGCAAATTTCTCACTTAATCTGACTGATCCAGGTCACATGACTGCACCAGCAATACACAAAAAGCTGGATTAAATCCCCACAATGCACCGGGGTCACTGACTTTGACCCTGAGCCCACCCCTGCAACGACACTTTCAGCAGCGTACTGAGAAATTAAAGACAACAAAGGACCAGAGGAGCGCTAATTAACGAAGACGAGACTAAAGGTTAGCCAAGATCGCTACGACAACGAGGCTAAAGGGACAAAATCTAGTCAATAAGAATGAGCACAAAGTCAAAATACATTGACTTTTTTTCTAAATAACAAAAATCTCAAAATATTAGCAGAGCTAGCACAGGACAAACGCTAAAAAAAAATGTGTAAAATCTGGTCGACATTAACGTGAAACTGCACCGATCTGAGACCCAGGCCCGGTCGTACTGACTCGACCCCTCAGTGGTCCGTCCCGGACTCCGTCCGACCTCTCCTGGTTCCGATTCCTCGGCTCTCAGACGGCGTTTTATTTTCCTGCAGGAAACATTCCACTGTAATGACGGGGGGAGTTCACCAGGGGGCGGGGGCACCAACCGTGGAGCGGGAGGAAACAGCCGGCCTAAATATGGACCTCTTATTAAGGACAACCAGGAGGAGCAGAAAAAAAAAAAAAAAAAAAAAGCTGTGATCTTGTAGCACCACTTCCTCAAACATGGAACATGAAATAGACCGAGCCTGGGCGGAGCTGGTGGAGTGAGGGACGGGTGGAGGCTGGAGCAGTAAAAGCCCAGAAGAAGTGATTTAATGGTGGGAGGAGTCGGCACTAAGTGGTGAGCCACGGTCTGGAAGAGTTCTGGGTTCTTCCACGGTCTTCTCCAGGTGGATGAGGAGAACATCCGACCGTGCCATCAACCATCTCCGTCCATAAACCTGCTCCACCTTCCCTCTCCCTCTGACCTGCTCCTCCTGGTGTCAGGTGTTTGACCTCACGGCCGTCTTCTGTCGCTCAGACCAACAAAGGTTTTCAAATCCTAGAGAAGTTGAAGCTAAAGTTGAAGCTGGTGTCGAGACAGGTGTAGGTCTGTGACAGGAAGCATGTAGCTCCTCAGCCCCGGCCTGTAGGTGGTGCTCACTACACATTTTTGTACCGTTACCTTTTGTTTGCCGACTGATTGTCAGCCTGCTGACGCCCACCATCTTTGGCGCCTTTTAGCTGCACCATGGCATGTATCAAATGTACATTGTGTTAGCGGCGTGCTAGCAGCTAGCATGTTAGCATTTCATACAGTTTCCTTATGAATTTATTTAGAGATTAACAAAACTTTGTGTAAGACAGCTAGGCTAAGCTAACCAGCTAACCTATTTAGACAGCACATCCACATCCACATCGTACAAGTCTCCATACCAGCTAGGCTAAGCTAACCAGGCTATTTAGACAGCACATCCACGTCTTCATCGTACAAGTCTCCATACTGCCCCCTACAGCCCACACTACCTGAAGCACATCTTTATGACCGCCACTGTCTGCTAATCTGATCTGACTCGGCTCTCAAGGCACCAGCTACAGGTCAAAGGTCACTCAGTCAGTCTGTTAAGATTCACTTTTATCTCGGGGATTTATGTGTCAGGTTCAGGTCTCCCAACATCAGCCAGCTGGGGCTTCACCCTCCCCTGCAGGACAAACGGGGGACTGCAGATTTACACTGGTCTGTTTCAATAACTCATTCAAAGTGAGGGTCGGGGTCCTTCCAGTGCTCAGGGTCTGAGTGGACCGTGGACCGTGGACCGGCTCCTCTGTGAACCTACACCTTTTATTACAGGAATGAGCGAAAACGTCAATTAGCAGAGGGCAGAAAAGGGGAGTGTCAGTGAAGGCATCACCTCCCTGTAGACGTGGGGTGTATCAAACCCTGTTGAAGCTCAGCCTCAAAGATTCAGAAGCAGCAGAACCGTCTTGATTGACAGCCCGTGGTCTGTGGACTGCTGTCTGTGACAGACTGACGGGCGTCTGCTGTTAGCTTATACTGTACACAGTTGTGGGTTCAATTCCATCATTAGACACAGGAGTTTAGATGGAAGTCACTGCAACACGAGCGCCACCTGTTGACCAGTCCAACATCTGTCCACAAACACAACTGGGCTCTGACCCGTTTGTGGGTTCGGGTCCAGATGTTGAGAAATGTCGTCGTTGAATCACAGTGGTTTGAAACTGCTGCTGAAGGAGACAGTGAAGGCATCACCAAACGGTTGTAGAGGTCAGTGTCCCTGGACCCTGAACGCCTCAGAGCGACTGCCAGGCTAAGTTGCTAGTCGGCTAATCTCAGCTGCCAACTTCTTCCCTGTGGTTGGTGTGTGTGTGTGTGTGTGTGTGTAGCCACAAACAACAACAACAACAACTCTGGACAAACACACAAACTCCCGCTGCACAGGAAGTTTTCGGTGCGTTTCCAAACACTGGGACCACAATGGCGCTGCGCCCTCTCACCGGGCGCACACGCAGCCCTGTTGTGCGCGAAGACGGTGCCAAGAAGGAGTGGGGAAGGAGGAGCAGGAACGGGGGGTGGTGGTGAAAGCAGGCAGAGCGCAGCGGAGCCCGTTTGCTTTAGTTTGCATTAGTTTCAAGTTTGCGCCATATTGATTTCGCCTTCACGCGCACACAGCAGGGCGCGCGCGCCCGGCCAGACTCCAGGACAACAAAAGCGGCAGGAAGCGTGCAGAAAAGGACGTCCACTCACCTTAGCTATGGCCTTCTTGTATCTCATGACAGCCTGCTGGATGAGCGAGTGCACTTTAATGTTGCCGTCTCCACACGGCACCACCACCCGGGTCCTGCCGAAGCACACCGTCACTTTCATGGCTCCGTGTCCCGACGGCGGCGCTTCACATTCGGAGGCGAATCCCGGGGCGCCGCTGTGGTGGTGGGGGTGGTGGTGGTTGAAGAAGGAAGGAAGGGAGACGAAAAAGAAGATAATATCCGAGTGGAAGTGAGGAAGAAGGGCATGTGTTGTTGACTCTCCAGTCAGATCATTCCCGGTAGTTCCCTCAGTGGAGTCCGGGGCTCAGCTCCGTCTGCTCCGGTCCACAGGACGACATTGTTTTCAGTGTGTTTTCACACTCACACTCAGACCACCTGTTTAGACACACACGCTCTCTCTCTCTCCCTCTCTTTCTCTCTCTGCCCACTTCTCTCACTCAATCCCAACCTCTCTCTCTCTCTCTCTCTCTTTTTCCCTCTCTAGGTCTGAGCTAACGCTCGGTCATGTGGTGCGTTCAGGTGCTGCTGGGAAATGACGGCAAAATCACCAACTAACTGAGAATCAACGTGTGGTGTGAAAGCCTGTTGCAGACAATGGAAAGAGTTCATAATCCACAACGAACAGCGCCCCCTACCACAGTATTTTGGAATTGTATAATAAATAAACTTTTTTGAAAAAAACAAAACAAAGTATGAATGTGTTTAAAATGCAGCATAAAAATATAAAACATCATATTTGGGGGAAGAGTTTTTTTAGTTACTTTATGTCTTGAGGTGAAGATTTGAGACATTTATAAAAACTACAAGTAAACTACAACATTTCGTCAGTGTTTCCTGTAACAAAGAAATAAAAATGTCTTCAGTTCTTCAGTCGCTGAATGAAACACATTTACTCCGACTGTGCCAGAGGTTCAGGGGTGAAGTTTTCCTTGCAGCGGTTCTTCTCCTTACCCGTAGGGGCAGCATGTGCGTGTGTGTGTGTAAAAAACGAGGCGACCTCTACCGGGCAACAGGAGAACAACAACATATTTGAACCAGAATGATGTTCTCGCGGCAGCTGAGATCAAGCTGGCTTCAAACTCTGTGACAGCTGAAAACATTGACAGACTGTAGCTTCTCTGACTGACAAACTAAAGCAGTGGTTCTCACGTATTTTATGTCATGTCATATCTATTTTTGTGATAAGCTTCTCTCCTCCGATTGGATCCAAGATAACTAGCGTATTTTTCCACTTTGATTCTATTTGAAAAATAAATGTTCCAATTCTCAGATGATGAAAACGAAATAGTTTAGTTTAAAAAAAATAATTTTCTAAGGTATACCCATCTCAGCCACTAGATGGCGCCAAAATACTATTCAACGCGTGTGTTTGTTGTTGTTATCTATATAACGACTATAATAATGACTTTAGTCAAGAACAAACCTAATTTAATTCCCGAAAATCGTGTTACATTTAGTCTGTGTAGGTTCTCATACTTGTTATTTAATAAAAAAAAAAGTTACATCGAAAGCAACTAGTTAAAAAACTACTTTGTCTAGTTGCTTTCGATGTAACTATTTTTTTGTGTTACGTTCAGATTGGCAGTTGAAAACTACATAATCGCCTTTATGACACTTCAGGAGGAAGTACTTAAAGATATAAAACCGGAATTTATGGGCGAAATATCCTCCAGCGAAACGAAAAAAAAACCAAGCGTTAATGTTTCGACCAATGTCCTTGGATTAAACAGTTATTGGACTGATCACAGAAACGGTTGGAATGTTTAATGGTTATGTGCTGTTGTTTTTTTGTTTTGTTTTATTTTGTAATCCCCATACAAATTAAAAACTAAAAAACGATTCTGGAGCCAACCCGGAAGTACAGCTCGGAGGCGGTTACTGCTCTTGCTGCAACTGCAAACTCTTCGGTAATTAAACTGCGACGTCAGGCGACATTTTAGTCACAGCGGCATCATCAGCGGCGCTGACGTGGCCATAGCACGTACACCCTCATTAGTGACGAGTTCCACTACGTCAAACTTCGGTAAGTCACTGCAAAACTGTCGCATTCCATTTTTTTTTTTTTTTTGCTTCCTCTGACAGTGGGGCAAAGTTCACAGAGAGTTTGCAAAAACACGTTCGCCTCTGACAGAGTTGGATTTGTGAGAAAACAAGGAGGAGTTGCCGCCAACGACCGTTCAACGGTCTGCGTTTCCTCTGGCTCGCGAAGTCAAGACTCACGTATTAAGGCCCTAACGGAAGTCGGAAAACGTCTCTTCAAAATAAAAATGTTTACATATCGAAAAAAAAAACAAAAAAAACATACATTTGTCCAAATACATCATTGAAAATAAATGAATATTTGTTTTATATAGAATATTGAGCACATGTCAAAGATTATGACGTGAGCTAATCACGGGGGAGGGTGAGGGGGTTTCGCATCATTAATAACTATTTATAACTACTATTAAACGTAAAATAATAGCTTCTCTCAGTATAAACGCACAAGCGTTAGCTTCAGATCGCGTAGAGCCCAAAAGAGGAGAGCGGCAGAGGGCGCTAGAAGGGTTAGCCTAGCCTCAGCGAAGAATGACTTGTAGGCAGTTAATCTGTAGATAAAACGACGTACACATTAGCACATTGCTAATACACGGTTATAGAGTTACACATACAACACAGCAGTGCATCTGTAGTACTTTACTCCAACACGTCTATGTCTCCAACAGAGGAATAGAAATAGGAGTATCAGATTTCTAAAAGATGACTCTAGGAGTATGGACAGAGGTGGTTGAACCCATGTCATCATCAGGGAAAAAAATTAAATAAATACATTTACTAGCATCGTCATGGTTCATGATTCTAACTTCAGTAAATACAACCTCCGTTATGTTGATGTTTGACGACATGTCAAGGAGTTAAACCGACGGCGGTTTGGATAAAAACCGACCCACACCGTTTCAGGGCTCAATGGATCGGTCAACCTCCTCCCAACTGGACAGCCGTTCAGACGGAGAGGAGAACCACAGTGAGGCCGGCTCGTCTGCTGCAGCGGCTGCTCAGGTGAACACACACACACACACACACACGCCCACGTAAGCGGTTCCACCTGTGTGTGTGCTCCGCTCTCCCTGACTTTAACCCGAGGACTCCGGCCTCGTTGGCCTGATCCGACCCCGACAGGTTTCAGATTCCCCGGGTGTGAGCGCGGTGCAGGTGCAGGGTGTGATCCAGGCCCCGCAGACCTCCGTCATTCAGTCACCTCACACACAGACTGTCCAGGTGAGACCACGCCCTTGGTTTTCTTTAGACCCAAGGATCCATTCGGGGACAGAATGGAGATGAGAACCATTTCTTACTAGAATCTGAACAGTGCGTGGCCATTGTCCCAGGGACTCATCGGCATGTAAACAAGCTGAAGCCTTGACCTTCAGCGTAGGTCAAAACATCAGAATTGTTAAATGATAACAAAGGTTATAACAAGTAGCATATTTTAGCAAAAATAAAATTTAGGGAACAGCTGAAGAAGGCTAAACGTATTTGCAGCTAACGGCTAACAATAAGATAAACGCACAAAGAGGAAAAAAATCAGTGGTTTTCTAAGGTGTTAGCAAAAAAAAACTGGTCCTTAAAAGTCTTTGGAAAGTGCTGGAGTGTGACCTGTGTTTAAAACCTGGACGTATTGTTGACATGGCTGCTGAAAGCTGGGTGGAAAATAATTACACTTTATAAAAGTCAATGTAGAGAGAGAGAGAGGTAGAGAGGGAGGGAGAGAGAGAGACGTTGAGGGTTGAAAAAGTAGCGGCTCAGGAGCTCAGGTTCCGACTTTGACGTCATCGCTGTCTTTCACTGATTGTTGTATCCAACCCATTCCAGGTCAGTGGAAAACAACACACCTTTGGTTTAAAACTTTTCCCGTAGTTATAACAAAAACCTGCCACGGACCTCTCCCTAACTCTGCTGCTCCTGCAGGAGGAGGACGACGACGACTCCGAGCCTCAGAGACGCCGCGAGCTCCTCTTGAGACGCCCATCGTACCGGTGAGGAGAGAACAGAGGAGGAGGAGGAGGAGGATGAAGATGACAGTTTTCAAACTTCTTTCATTTCATCTGACGAACAGGAAAATCCTCCGTTATCTTTCATCAGACTCAAGAGTGGTTCCCAAGATCCAGGAAAAGAAGACGGAGGAGGAAGTGGTCGGCTCTGCCAGCACGTCATCATCACCATCAGTGGCGCCGACTCCCATCTACCAGACCAGCTCAGGACAATACAGTCAGTGTTAGACGCTGTGGGACACCGCTGTCCTGCGTCTCCAGCACAATATGAAAAAAGAAAAAAAAAAACAGTAAAAATATAAAAATGCTGAAACAAAGTTCAGAGTCGTCTCCACTGACTTTGTTTCCGCACAGTTGCGATCAGTCAGGGCCGAGGCGTCCAGCTCACCAGTCCAGGGGTGGGGGCCCTACAGGTGGGGGGCACGCACACCTCTCAGCCCAGAGCCACCGTCCTGCAGCGTGCAGCCCAGACGATAGAATCTCCACAGCAGTTCTGCCTGCAGGGAAGACAGATTCTCGTCCAAGGTGGGCTGGGACACGTCCTACTGTCCATGTTTCACTGAATCAGACCTCAGGGTGAGAAAAAAAATGTTTACATGAACCAATACTACGGGCCGCACTGACCCTGTAGTGGTCACATGTCAGGCTGCAACCCCAAGTTTGATTGGCTGATTGATCATCGACAGCTTCTGTCCAACTGGGCTGGTGATGGAACGGAAATGTCAGAAAGATCAGTCAGTAGGCAGTACAGGTAACCAACCACCAGGGGGCTGTGGGCTCAATCCCAGACTGTCTGTGGTAACCTAGTTAGTTAGTGAGTTAGTTAAAAACAACTTCCAGTGAGTGAACAGGTGTTCATAAACCTGACCAATCACAGCAGGACTCTGAGCCTCAACCCAACATTAACTTGACCTTTGAACCCCAGGACCTGGTCCTAGACCCTGGGGGTTGTGAGAAGCCGCTGTCAAACCCTGTGCTAACGCTAACAGGTGGACACTCAGAGCTCCGTCAGTGCAGCAGCAGCAGCAGCAGCTCAACACCGAGGACACAATATCCTCCTGTTTGTTTGAGTGCGTCTCGCTAGTTGCGTCACTTGGGGTAAAACTACAACCCCCTCCTCCCCCTCCTCCTCCCGCTCCTCACCCTCTCTGCTCTGTTCACATTGTGTCTGAGCAGGAGGAGGAGGAGGAGGAGGAGGAGTTGTTGTTGTAGGCGGTGGTGGGAGGAGAGAAAACTCTAATCCTGGGTGTTTCACTGACTTCAGCAGGCAGCAGTGATGTCACTGTGATGTCAATGGCTGTAATTGTAATTGGGCTGCAAAGTTGACGAGAGAGAGAGACAGAGGGAGGGAGAGAGAGAGAGAGAGTAGAAAGAAGAAGAGCAGTGAGGAAATAAGAGCAGAGTCAGTCCGTTTGTTCTGGAGAGTTCTGCTGCTGCCGCTGCTCTGGATTACTGGAAACAGGAGATGGCTGTGACCGGGGATGAGACTGAGTCAGGTACACACACACACACACACACACACACACACACATCATCATCATCTTCATCATCATCATCATCATCAGGGATCACTGTGTGTCGTTGCTAACTGTCAGTAAACTGATAAAAGTTGTGATGAGTTTTGAAAAAGAATCTAGAAAAGTGCAGAAGGTGGAACTCTGTTGTGTTTACAGTCGGCCAAGAAGAGAAGTTGTTGTTGTTGTTGTTGTTGTTGTTGTTGTTGTACATGTCAGCAGGAGGAGGTGAGCAACAATGTCATTGGTTTTAAGCTGTTTCCAGTAGGATTTGTCACTGCTGTATAATGTTCTCCTCTTATATTTAAGCTAACGATCTTGAAGTGGTTTTGGCTAACGTCGAGCTAACCTTCCTCTGATCTGGAGTCGAACGCCGACTTCTCAGGACTGGGTTCTGTCAAAGTTCAGAGAGTCGTGTGTAAAGTGGCCGGTTTTGAACTGACATCAGGGACTGACTCCAGTGGTTGTCAGGCAGAGAGAAAGGCAGGGGGGGGGGAGGAGTGTCGGGGGGGACGGGGCGGTACAGGGTCAGATAGTCGTCAGTTTGACGTCACTGTGTTTCCTGGAAGAGAAGTGGAGAGAGAGCGCTAGAGGGAGGGAGGTGGAGGGGGGGGGGCAGGGAGTGAGAGTAAGACGCACATACTGTCGTCAGCAGAGACGCTGTTATCACAGTGTGTGTGTGTGTGTGTGTGTGTGTCAGAAACGTAGTGAGGACAGAAAGTTTGTCGGTGCAGAAACAGCAGAAGAAAAGAAAGTAAAGGAGTGAGAGACGAGAGGACCAGAGGTTCTGACCGTTGACCTCACTCTGGGGGAGGGGACGACACAAACGTGTGTTAGCATGGCACTGTCCTGAGGCCGACGCTAGACGTCAACACTGTCAGTTATGCAAAAAGTTCAGTTCAGTTGTTGACGCTGCTCAAGAAGAAGAAGAAGAAGAAGAAGAAGAAGAAGGTTCACTGTTCACACGGATCCAGAAGAAAACCAAACATTTGGTCTCAGTTCAGTAAACTCTTCTTCTTCACTGCTCTCAGACATATATTTGTTTTTGTGCCGACAGCTGCCACTGGAGACATGCCTGCCTATCAGCTGCGGTCGCCAAACTCCAGCCTCGCTCAGAGCATCGTGATGGCGGCATCGCCAGGCGCCATGTCCAGCCCGTCGTCACAGCACGCTGAGGAGATAACGCGCAAGAGGGAGGTCAGACTGATGAAGAACAGGTGACTATTAGCCATTTGTTACCAGTGGTCGTGGTTAGCATGTAGCAGTAGACATTAGCAAATGTGCAGCTAGCTGTTACTCACTGACATGTTGGACAAACCACAGGCTAACTGACCTGTTGATGCTTCTCACCTGAAGCTGTTGCTAACGTCAGGTAGACGGGTAACCCTTGGGTAATGCTAATGCTAATAAATCAGTGAAGACAGAAAGCTAAATATTTAGAACACACAATGGTATAGCATAGAATGCTACTAGCGGCCAACAGGTATAAACACCTGACCTTTACTGAAAACCTTCGACACTGACGTTAAACTTTTAGAATGTCCAGCCCTAGTGGACAGTAGTCACCGGGTCACTGTCATGTTGATGGCTGTCCACCGGGGGCAGTATGTGCTGACCAACCCTGACCTGCTCAGCCTTTAAACACAAACACCTGCTCGACGCAGGATTGGAATAAAAACCTCTTCTTCTTCTTCTTGTTCTTCTTCTTGTCCAGGGAGGCTGCCCGCGAGTGTCGCAGGAAAAAGAAGGAGTACGTCAAATGTCTGGAAAACCGGGTTGCTGTGTTGGAAAACCAAAACAAGACCCTGATTGAAGAGCTGAAGGCTCTGAAGGACATTTACTGCCACAAAACCGAGTAGTAGCAGCTGCTGTCGTGGTCACGGGCCGTGACGCTGCCGCTTTCAGGAAACAGAAAAAAAGAAGAGACTCTGTGGAACAGAAACTGTTTCTTTCTTTCTCTGCTCACTCAGGCCTGGTTTTACAGCAAACTCACAGG